GTTACATTTGAAGAGGTATCTTGCAGGTGAAGCACTTAGAGCAGTAGATGGGTATTTTTTACGTAACAGTGAGCAGGCATACGTGGGCATTTGGAGTGTTTTACAGGAGAGGTATGGCAGCCCCTTTATCATCCAAAGAGCCTTTAGGGCTAAGCTTACAAAGTGGCCTAGAATAGCTGCAAATGATCCAATAGCACTGAGAAAGTTTGCAGATTTCCTACAAAGCTGCACCGAGGCTATCCCTCAGGTAAAGGGTTTGGATATTCTTAATGATTGTGAGGAAAATCACAAGCTTAAGAAAATTACCTGAATGGATAGTACATAGATGGAGTCGTGTTGTGGTGGAGGAACTGGATAAAAGCCAAGAATATCATGACTTCATCAAATTTACAAGGTTTTTACAAAGGGAAGCTAAAGTTGTCTGTAATCCTGTAGCTTCACCTTTTCTAAAGAATGAAAAGGCCTCAGAAGAGAGAGCCTTCATTAAAAGAGCTAAAACATTTAGTACCAACACCCAACCAAAGTCTACTCTGCAACTCACCGAGTCTCCTTCAGTATTCTCCTTTGGACCTAAGCCACCTTGTTTGTTCTGTGAAAAATATTCTCATGTTGTGGCTCTGTGTCCAAAGTTTGAAGCAAAGTCTGATAGTGATAAGAAATCATTCATTTATGAAAATCATCTTTGCTTTGGATGTCTGAGAAAGGGTCATTTATCCAAAGAATGCCGAGGACGTCATTCCTGCAGAAAGTGTGGACAACGTCACCCAACCTGTCTGCACATAGAGTAACTGAACCAAAACTGGTGAGAACTGTGGATCTTGAAACCCCAGCTGAGGCGCATAACATCATGACCCATGTTTTGACGAGAAAAACCTCCTACATCTAGCATAGTACCTGTTTTTGTGTCCGTTTTTATCAGAGCCACAGAAAGAAATACTTACGTATGCTCTGCTTGACACCCAAAGTGATTCATCATTTATCTTAGAGGATTTGGCTTCAGAACTGGGTATTAATGCTTAACCTGTTCGGTTAAAACTTAGCACAATGACCTCAGTTAACACAGATGTCGCTAGTAAACTTGTTAACAACTTACAGGTGCATGGGTTTAATTCTAAAACTCATTTTCAAATCAAACAAACTTATTCTCGTGACTTTATCCCAGTTGAAAAGTCTCACATTCCTACTCATGAAACTGCATCTCAGTGGTCCCACCTCGAAAACTTGGCAACCAAGTTGCAACCATTACATGACTGTGAGGTTGGTTTATTGATTGGTTATGACTGTCCATCAGCACTAGCCCCCTTAGAAGTCATCACAGGAAGAGAGAATGAACCCTTTGCTCAAAGAACCATATTAGGATGGAGTATTATCGGGTCCTGTAATCCCCACCTAGAAAGGGCAGATAGCCATAGTTATGTGCACAGACTAAATGTCAAAGAATTGCCTACGCCAGTAGTTCCAGATGTACTTAAGGTCCTGGAGTCAGATGTTAATGAGAGAGGTCTAACCAGTGTTTCACAAGAACTCATTACCAAAACCCAAGCACTTTGTAGACAAGCAGGGTTGCGTCTTCATAAGTCCAGCTCTAACCAAAGTGAGGCACTCTCCCATCTTGCTCCCTCGGAAAGAACTGACACCAATGAATCACTCAATTTTGATACTGGTGAAACTTCTCAAGGTCATGTCCTTGGTATTCAGTGATCAATGAAGAATGACAACTTCTGTTTCAATACAAGCACCAAGAAACAACCTTCTACTCGTCAGAGCACACTGTCTGTTATCTCATCTTGTGAGACGCTTTAGGGTTTGACGCCTTTCACCTTAAGAGGAAGAGTGTGCTACAGGAGTTGTGTCGCCGTTGTGTCAAGTGGGATGAACTCCTTCCATAAACTTGCGCTTACGGTGGGAGGCCTGGAAAGATTATTTGGAAGACTTGCTCTCTCTCTCTCTCTCTCTTTCTTTCTTTCTTTCTTTCTTTCTTTCTTTCTTTCTTTCTTTCTCTCTCTCTTTCTTTCTTTCTTTCTTTCTTTCTCTCTCTCTCTCTCTCTCTCTCTCTCTCTCTCTCTCTCTCTCTCTCTCTCTCTCTCTCTCTTTCTTTCTCTCTTTCTTTCTTTCGCACTGTTTTATC